AAAGAATGTCATTTAATATTGACTTATCTAAAAATCCCAAGGTCTGGACTTTTTCCATTCATAATGTCTGTAATTACCAATCTTTGTCTTTGCTTCAGACTCAGAAAGCGCAAGAAATCCAACAAGCCTTTACTACACTTCCGTGTCTCCCTGAGCTCTTTTCAAAGGACCTTTTGGTTTTCCATGAGAAGCATTTAGTTCTTTAATTGCATGTTAAACTTCTAGCTTAGTGGCTAGAGAGAGCCAGAACTAGCGCAATTAAACACGAGCAGTAGTTCCAGGTTCACGTTCATCACCTTGATCAGTTGTAAATTGTAGGCTAGAGAAAACTAGCAAGAAAACAGAGGGAGACATCTGGGCCACCTATTTAGCTCTCCTCCAAGAGAGCCTAAGAGAGAAGTCACGTGGAGGAGCGAGGCGGGTTTGATGTGCAGCAACCACTGCAGGTCTGGGCTGCTTTGCTGAGCAGAGACTGGCAGCCTGAGCTACGTACATCATCCAACGCCTGTGGGTGCCACTGAAGCAATATTTCTGTTGCAGGGCTGAGAATGTCCATTTCTCTGTAGCTGATTAAGGAGTAATTTTACTGTGTCTACTTTCTGAGTTGACCACTAGATCCTGGCTGGCTGTTGACTCTGTTTGCCACTCTGGAGGAATGGCTATGAAAAGGAAGGATTCTTCCTTTGAGACCCTAACTGAATGACTGGCCTCTCTAAGTCTCGTGAAGCAGATGTCCCTCTCAAAAAAAAAAAAAAAAAAAAAGGTTATGTTATTTTGACCAGACTTATGAGTGACTTCAATAGATTTACACTAGAAAAAAAGTCATTCTTCTACATTGCCTAGGAATCTGTTAAGGGTACAGTACAATATTTCATAGTACTTAGTAGTACTACTATTAATAGTACTATTACTAGTACTTAATAGTACCAATAGTACTTAACAGTACAGTACAGGGGTCAGCAAACTTTTTTTTATACAGGGCCAGATAGTAAATATTTCAATCTTTGCCGGCCACACGGTCTCTGTTGTAATTACTCAGCTCTGCTAGTGCATGTGGAAGCAGCCATAGGCAATACACAGACAAATGGCTGTGGCTGTGTTCCAATAAAACTTTATTTGTGGACATTGAAATTTGAATTTAGGATGATTTTCACATGTCACAAAATATTCTTCTTTTCTTTTATTCCCCCAATTATTAAAACATGTAAAAATCACTTTTAGCTCACAAGTGGTCCAATAACAGGCAGCAGACCAGATTTTTTTTTTTTTTTTTTTTTTTTTAGCAGATTTGGTTTGCCAAAATTTTTTGTAGTAAAAATAGCCCACAGCTTAGGACCTTGTGACCTGGATTTGAGACAAGGAGCTATGATTCACTGGCCTTGTAAACTTGGCCAATTTGCCCAAACCCTAGTTTTCCCTCTATAAAATGTAAATTATAATACTCAGCCTCTCATGGTGAATCAGAATGAAATAAGATAATTTGTACAAGTGCTCTTAATGCTCTCAAACACCATACCATGTTGGGTAAAATATCATTTTGTTATTATTATACATTCTGTGATTTATCAAAATATCTTAGCAGCCTTCTGACAGAATTTTGACTTCTAGATGACACTCTGCATCTAAAGCACTCAAGACATTGAAGGCAGAACTATTAGGAAGAGGTGTGCTTTACTAAATTTTAAACTAAAGGCTCACATTTTCTTAAATACAGGTTGGCCATAAAGTTTAGAAACAAGATAATGTTATTTTAGTGTATTGTAATGTAATATCAACGAATCATCTATTAGGTATATGTTACCTATGTTTTTCAATGTTAAAGCCATCCATTGAGAGGAAATCTCCTGGAAGATAATGTTTACCATATATAGAGGACACTGAACTTTCAACTACCTTCCTGACATTTCTAAATCATACAGAGTATCACCCAAGTCAAGGAAAAAAAGACTGAAGAGTAGCCAGACTATTAGCAGACTGTTTTGGAAATGATTTACTATGAGTATTTTAACCATATTCTTTCAGCAAATCAAATGATTTCCCATTCTTCTGGTGAGTTCAGGTAGTTTTCTAATAGCTTTCTTATGCCTCCTTTTTCTGTCCACCAGTTCCCACCTTTGTAAGCAGTTTCTAAATATCCCAAAGACACTGGCCTAAATCTAAATAAAAAAGCAAAGGGGAAAAAAGTAAGAAACGTGGAATGTAAGAAAATGTGGGGATGGAAAGCATAAGAATGTTGCTCTGGAGAATTCAAAATTTAGACTATTAAATGAAGTCATGAATAGTTTTTAAATTAGAATGCAATGAAAAATAGACATTTCAGAGCCCTAGCTTGGTTAAACCTGCAAGAGAAAATTGTGCTTAAGAAATAGGTTGACATTTGCAGCTGGATTTCTGTTAGGGAACATAAGGTACTGAACTAAAACAGTAGAATTGGAACTGGAGAACCAGATAAAAGAACAAAGGGCGGGGATAGATGGAGGAAGGGAGTTGGGGAAGAAAGAGTTCTGTCTCATGGACATAGATGGGATATATGTTGGAACAGCCAGGCTGGAAGGCCATGTTTGAAGGAACATTGAAGGAACAGAAAAGTTGACATTTGCTATGTTAATGCAAAAGAGTATAGCTTGCCCAGGGGACAGCTAAAACATAAATGATTTTATTGGTTCCAGAAAGTTGATTTATAAATGAATGGGTGCTTTTCCAGTTGGAGAGCACGTTGAGGTGGGCGGAGGTGAGAATCCAAGGAACTCAGCAGCCTTGTGGTGGGGGTCATGTTTGCAGCTGAACCTGCCCTTCCATCCAGGAGCACTTTGTTCTGTCAGATTGGGGTCAACCGTGGCAAACCATACCCTTAAATTCCAAATTCTTATCGGGCTCACGGATCCCACCATGCTTTATGGAAAAGCGACTGAAATGCATTAACCAAACAGACCAAAGGATCAAGTTGAGAGTGATCTTCACTGGTTATGGATACTGTTGTATTAAAAGAGACTTTTAAAAAATTCTCATTGCACTTGGTTTGCTAATGGAGTGACTGAGGGAATGAGGACTGGATATTGGAGAATAGAATGAGTAGAAATGGTGGGGTCAATTTTGTTGAACTGTCTTAATGGAAAACACCATTCGCTCACTACTTGCTGCTTAGAAAATCAGTCTCAATGAACTTTCAGTTCCAAATTTTAACGGTTGACACAAAATACACTGTTAAACTGTGTTAACAACTGTAGAAAAATAGACATGTTTGATAGGGACATTCTAGTAAAAGGTTCTTCAGGAGCATCCTCATTTAAAGATTCAGAGGCTCACATTACAAAAACGAGATTTGGTTCAAGTTCTGTCTCCAACTACATTGACAACAAAGACAGTGAGAAACAGGGAGAGACCTCACATCTGGGTGCCCGTCACAGACACAGAACTGACAGGTGCACGTGGCCAACGTGTTGTCAAGGCTCTTCGTTCAGTTGTGCTAAAGGGCAGGCAAGCAGGGATCAGGCCCTGAGCTGCTCTTCCAACCAGACACCAGGTTGTGCACTGTCCTTTAAACCTTAGCAATGGAATTAAAAAGGCCCAGTGAGTCTTCAAGAGCTAAATTAGAAGACATTTTGCAGCCCCTACTCCATCTCGTTTCATACCTGCCATGGCCTGCCCTGCAACCCTGGCAAGGCTGCAGGGGAGCTCCCCAAGCCAAGAGTGCCCTTCGTTAGGCTGCCTCCAGGTCAGGCCATGGCTCCTCCTCGCAGCCTCAAGGGGTGTGTATCGAGCTTCCTCCTCCCGGACAACCACCTCCTTCTTAGAGTGTGTGAAATAAAGAAATGATTCAACAGAGATTCAATGCAAAAAAGGAAATGCTGCCAAACAGGAAAGGGCTATGGCCAACAGTTTTGTCTTCCTTAAAGTCAGTGCCAAGAGGCAGTTGTTCTGATCCAACGTCTCTGAGATGGGAGAAGAGAGGCCCCGAGGTTATATTTAGGAGCCACTTTCCTTATCCTGGGACTTCTTTTTTAGTAGACAAGGTCCCCAGACTACAGCAAAGGCCTGTGCAATCAGGTCAGGGAAGGCAAGGGAAACAAAGAGGGACAGCTAGTTTGATCTCTTTGACCTCCATGGTGCAGAGCCTCAAACTGAGCACAGCTGTAGGAGCTGAAAATAAACTTGGATCCATTCAATGAATATTTATGATGGGCAACTGTGTTAAAGAACAAACAGCTTATAAATGCAAAATTAATGTGAAAGATCTGTTACAGTGCAAAATCTCCACCTGCCCTGGAGGTTTGAGCTAAGATTTATTTTCTTATGTTTTTCATTTTAAAATTCAGATTTCCAGTACAAATACCCTTCCTTCCTTCCTTCCTTCCTTCCTTCCTTCCTTCCTTCCTTCCTTCCTTCCTTCCTTCCTTCCTTTTTGCAGATTAAAGTGAATTAAGGCTGGAGTTTTTTGTTTGTTTTCTTTTGATTGAGAGACACTTTGGATTTGATTTCTAACCTGTGGCGTACTCTGGAGACATTTCTTAGACAATCATCAAGATTGTTGATCTAATCTTTGAATACTGAACTCTGGTCATTTCAAAATAATAAAAGAATAAAAATAAAAGATCACAATGCAAGAAATGCTGATGGATAAGCCCCAGGGACAGGCGAGATGTCATTCTCAGAACGCCAGATAGAGTCAAAGCGTGAGAGGTCGATGATTATAATGCGTGTCACTCACTACATGCCTTCATGAATTTCATGGCTTTAGACCCAAACCATCTTCTGCTAACTTACCATGTCTCATTGTAACAGTCTGTAGAGAAACTACAGCTGGAGAATCAATGGTTTTGCAGAAAAGTTTCCTAAATTATTGTACTACAAAGGGCAAGAGCTCATGTGAAAAGTAAAAACATACCTTTGGTGACATGCTAGAGAATATCTCCTTCCTGGTATTCCCCCTCCTCCAGGCCAGTTAGTGAGGCCCTTGTTATCTTTTAAAAAAAGACATCTGTTTTGTAACATTTCACAGTATATCAGCATATTGGTGGTGGGTTTTGTCATCTACCAGATCTCTCAATTTCCCCCAGACCTATGGCTTATTAGATTCAATGAAAGGATCAGCATGGGAACAGTGAGGTACCCTAACGGCTGCCAGTCTGAGACACAAACAAAGGCCGTGCACTGAAGGGCCAGCCGTCAACAGGATCAAAATAACCTGGAAAACACAGACATCAAAACAGAAACGCCTACTGCATGTTAGGAATCTTTCTCTCTTTTTTTTTTTTTTTGCTTCTTATTTCTAAAGTTATATATCTAAACCTACATTAATGATACATCTATGTACAGTATTTAGAAGTTCTGTTCTATGGTACTTTTGTACATGCTGGGTTTTATAACTAACTACAAAAAGAAAATAATTACATAAGGCATATATATGTACAGTGGTTTGTCTTCAGCTCACCTGGGCCCTATAACTGCCACGCCCACACGGGGGCAAGCACCTCACCCTGTAGTAGATGAAAAGAATTGGGATCTATAAAACTGAGGGCTCCACTCTGTGTCTCACTGAATGAATAAATAGGCACCGGAAACCTTGCTTGTCATATCCCAGGTAAAATCTTTGACACACCTTTTTGAGTGATCTGGTATTATACAACACATGCAGGTAAGTAACTGAAATCTCCAGGAGCTGGACGTGTAGTATTTTGGGAGGAGACCAGGCTTGGGCCACAAACGAGAGCACTTTGCACCTTCATCAAATCCACGTCTACCTTGTCAATCTAAACAACTGAGAGAGGGCAGGTAGATATTTTACACCTTGAAGATTTGTTTTCTGGTCATGTAAAAATTAAATATAAATAAAGAACAAAGCAAGAGAGACAAAAAAGAAAGAGAATGAGAGACAAGGGAAGATTGTGTCAGGGGGAGAAGAGAAGGGGTTGCCCAGCTAGGGCACTAAACTTTGGATTCATTCTCCAGGTTTGCCACATCACCATTTCTTTCTGTTTGCTCTTCAAGGTTCTTTTCTTCCTCTTCAGTCTCCAGTTCTGCATGTTGGTTGAGTTTGCTGGATACAGACCAACTCAGGGGCAGCTCTGCCCTGCTGGCTAACTCGGCCAGCTCTTTGGCACTAAGGGATGGGGTGCTGGTCTCATAGGTCTCATGGAAGCTGTTGTAGTCAACTTCGTAGAACCCATCCTCCAGGGTCAGGACAGGCGTGAACCGGTAACCCCACAGGATCTCACTGGTGATGTAGGAGCTTCGAGCTTGGCATGTCATCCCTGCAGAGAGAAGAATGGAGGCTTTAGCATATGTGAGTGTGGGCTTTCCATGGCCAAGGAGTCACAGAGAGCCGGGAGGAGTACTGCATGCAGCTGTTGAGACTGACCTGCATACAGTGCCACAACTTAGTAGGTGTCATTCACGTTGTAGACACATGCTAATGTGCCATGGAGATTCCAGGCCTCTTAGGGGAGTCCTGGGGAACAATGAGAGAGTCCTGGCTCACATCAAGCCACATTTGCCTGCACGGTCATGCACAAAGAAAATCAAATGTGCAAATGCACACAAGTGTTTGCTTGTGTGTGGCTATGTCTGGTCCACTCTTTGCTCTGGGAGAACCCTGAAGCCATGACCCTGGCCTCCTACTACTCTTGGAGACTTAGCCTGGGTTCTAATGGTATTTGAGCTCTTTAGCCGCAGACTTAGAATGAAATTTCATATACGGAACTACACATAGGCTGCTTTTAAGCTAGAGGCCACAGATCAGTGTTACCCTCCCACCTGCCATTAATACACAGGCCATGACTGTGGCCCCCAGATGCAGTTGGAAGGGTTACCCACCTGAATTTGCACTTTCCTTAGGCCCAGTGGTCATAGTTACTCAGATTGTGCAATCATAACTACTTTAAAAGCTTTTCCCCCTTCTTTTTTTTTTTTGAGATGGAGTCTTGCTCTGTTGCCCAGGCTGGAATGCAGTGGTTCCGATCTCGGCTGACTGCAAACTTCGCCTTCCGGGTCTAAGCAATTCTCCTGCCTCAGACTTCTGAGCAGCTGGGACTACAGGTGCACACCGCCATGCCTGGCTAATTTTTTTTTTTTTTTTGTATTTTAGTAGAGATGGAGTTTCATCATGTTGCCCAGGCTGGTCTCGAACTCCTGAGCTCAGGCAATCCACTTGCCTCGGCCTCCCAAAGTGTTGGGAT